GACCTGCCGCCCGGGCTGACCATGCCCTGCGCCCAGCCGCACTCCCTGCCGCAGGACCCGGCCGGCGTGCACCCGCCGCCGATGCTCCTCTCGGTCACCGCCCAGGGGCCCCCCAATACCGCCCTCCTCTACCTGTGGCGGTCCACCTCCACGGTCGACGGCCACGCCCGGATGGATGCCCCGGTGCCGCTGCTCCGCGCAGCGGATCTCCGCTACCCGCAGCCCACCAAACCGACCACCTTCCAGCTGGCCATCGTGCCGCACACCCTGCGCCACGACCAAACCCACCTCGTCTTCTGGGATGGGCACTGGCTATACACCGCCACGCTGAAACGCCACGACAACGGCGCCGCGCACCTGTCCATCCAGCCGATGGTCCTGCAAAGCCTCTCCCTCCTCACCCACCTGCAGGACGCGCCCCCGACCGCCGTGCACCTCATCCCGCTGGACGTCGATGCCGACGGCCGGCCCGAGGTGGCGGTCATCCGCACGGACACCGGCAGCATCACCCTCTTCGCCGAGGCCGGCCCGCACAATGGCTGCGGCGCCGGGGCCCTCGGCACTTGTGTCGAGCCCCGCCCGGACTGGGCCCCAGGCGACTGCGCCCCCTCCGAGCCCTGCACCTGGAAGCCCACCAGCCTGCGGGTCGGTGACCTGGCTGCCTGCACCGACGGTGTGGCCGTGCCCGACGGGCCGCCGTGCGTGCCGTGCGGCTTCGATCCCCAAGGTGCGCCATCGACGCCGGGGTCCGGTTATGTGGGGCTATTTCGCGCTTCTTTCGCTACACCAGAGATTCCTTCTCGCGGCCGGCCGCCTGGGCCACGCAGCCCCCTCGCTCTCTGCTGCTCTCTCGCTCGCCCTTTCTTCCCGGCCATTTGCCTCGGCCCCCGCCCGGCCACGTGCCCTGACACACCGCCCCCATCCCCAGTCGAGTGCACCCCCCCCTGCACCATCGACAACTGCCGGCACTGCCTGGACGGCCGGTGCCTGGTCTGCGACAAGGACTTCCTCCTGGCGGAGGACGCGCGGTCGTGCGTGCGCGCCTGCCCCGACCCGGACGCCACGGTGGCCGGCGGCCGGTGCCTGCCGCCGGACGCGCCGTTCACCCCGTGGGCCGGGGTGCACGGGCACCCCTCGTGGAAGGACTTCCAGCCGGCCGGCCTCGCGCACGCCCGGCTGGCGCGCGTCACCTACAAGGACCAGGAGAGCCTCTGGCCGGTGGCCATGGCCACGCCCAGCCTCATCGGGCACTTCGGCCCGGACACCGACACCCTGGTGGTGGTGCCGGTGGCCGGCACGGCCACCGACGGCCGGCCCACCGACATCCGCCACATCAGCAGCCACGCGGCGCAGCAGGACTACCTCCGGCTGGATGATGCCGCCATCCTCGGCGGCGCCCTGGCCCAGGGCCACGACATGGGCCTTGCCCAGGCGCCGAGCACCGACCCGTCGGACTTCGCCCCGGTGACCAGCCTCCGGCAGCTGCTGCAGCCCATCTCGCCGGTGCACCTGGCCGGGCTGCAGCGCGACGCCGGGCCCCACCGGCCGGCGCCGCACCCCGACGCGGACGTCGGCGCCGCCACCCAGCTGGGCATGGTGGCCAGCGCGGCGGTCACCCTGGCGCAGATCAGCTCCAACCTGGACCGCGTGGCGCCGCACATGGTCGGCACCATGGTGGCCCCGGCCGACCTGGGCACCCCCCTGCCGGTGAAGGCCGCCCTCACCATGACCCTCTATGCCAATGACCTCCACAAGAACACGCCCAGGCCCTCAGGCCAGCCGGTGACGATGCAGGACATGCCGCTGCCGTACCCGGCCCGGGAGCTGGCCTTCGCCCCGGGCCCGCTCCATGGCCAGGCCCACACGGAGCTGCACGCCCTCCGGCGGACCACCACCGACGAGCATCTGCTCATCCTGCCCCTCCAGCTGGCCGGATACCAGGGTCTCAGCAGCGATGTCCACTTCCTCATGCTGACCCTGCCCAGCGTGACGCCGCGCCTGAGCGCGCCGCGCCGGGCCCACCACCCCGGCGAGACCACGACCCTGGCCCTGCCGGCGGCCACGGCCCTGTACCCGGCGCTGGCCGACACCCCCGGCGACCGGCCGGCCGTCCTCTTCGTCAACACAAGCTGGAAGAAGCCGGAATTCCTCCTCCTCCAGCCCCCGGGCGATGATGTGCCCCTGCACCAGGCCCTCACCTACCGGCAGGGCTACAGCACCGAGCAGATGGTGGCCCTGGTCCGGGCCGATGGCCAGCCGGCCGGCATCGTCATCCAGCCGTACGACTGCCTGAAGCGCCAGTCAATCAGGGATTTCGAAATCGCCACCGGCAGGAAGACCTTCGTGGCGCCGGCCGGCCTCACGGCCCCGGCCTTCATGGCGGACAACCACTCCGGCCGCCAGGACTCCGGCTGCCGGCTGACCGTGGTCGAGCACCAGCCCGTCCCGCCGACGGCCGAGGTGGCCGTCATGGACGCCAACGCCGACGGCCAGGACGACCTGGTCCTGCTGGACCGGGCCACCGGCCGCGTGGTCTTCTACCTGGCCGACGCGCCGGCCGCCAGCCGCTGGGCCGCCCTCCCGCTTGCCTCCTTCCGCCGGGTGGTCGCCCATGCCGGCAGCCAGACGGCGGCCTCGCCGCCGACCACCGTCCACCTGACCGACTTCAATAATGATGGTCTGCTGGATGTCGTCCTCATGGACAGCACCCCGGAGGGGGCCCCCCGGCTGCGGGTGCTGGCCCACCCGGACACCACGGCCCCGCAGTGCCCGGCCGGCGCGACCTTCCGCCCGGCCGACTGGGCGTGCGTCTGCCCGGACCCGGCCAGCCGCTACGACCTGGACGCCGGCCAGTGCGCCTGTGTCCCGCATGCCGTGGCCACCGGCGTGGAGGGCGCCTGCGCCTGCCCGGCCGGGCTGGTGCTGGTGCCGGACACCGAGTGCGCCTGCCCGGCCGGCTCGCTGCCGGTGTTCGACGAGGCCACCGGCGCCGAGGCCGCCCCGCGCGCCTGCGCCACCTGCCACGCCTCGTGCGCCACGTGCTCCGGCCGGACCCCGGGCACCTGCGGGTCCTGCCCGACCGGGCGGCTGCTGTCCCCCGACGGCGGCGGGGCCACCTGCGTGGAGACCTGCCCGGCCGGCTCGAACCCCACCTCCGACGGCCGGGCCTGTGTGGCCTGCGCGCCCGGCTGCGATGCTTGCAACACCGACACCGGCAAGTGCACGGCCTGCACGCCGGGGCTCCACCTGCAGGATGGCCGGTGCCAGGCCTGCCACGAGACGTGCGCCGCCTGCACCGGCCCCGGGCCGGACGCCTGTGTGGCCTGCGCGCCCGGGCGCCTGCGCCACCCGACCACCGACCAGTGCGTGTCCAGCTGCCCGGACGGCACCGGGCCCAACCTG